GGTCCAGAGCGGTCCAGAGAGGTCCAGTGGGACGTTCGGGTCGGTCTGGTGTCCCGGTCAGGCATAACCATGATTTGATCATACGCGTGTTTTTCTTCATTTTAGAGAAAAGAAGGAAAAACAAGTATTGCACATTTAGCACACCCACCTGATCATTGCACATTATCTCCACTAATGGCCCTCTTGGCCTTGGCTTGGTCCCTGGTGCAGCGCCTGCGGAAGCTGTGCTTGCTTGTGCATTTCCACCGTCTCCAGCATTTCCCTGTTCTGAAGCACCAGTTGTGCCAGCCGCAACACTTCCTCCATTGCTGCACGGACCATTCCCAGAACCGGCTGCAGCAGAACTGGCGGCTGTTCCTGCAGGCTGCTCAGCACCGCCCTCGTCAGGCACCGCCAGACACAGCCTATCAACCACATAATTCATCACCTGCACACAAGGATGCAAAACCCATGATCAAAAGAGTGCACATCGATCAGCTCTTTGGGATCCGAAGAATCAATGGCATTCGATGGCAGCACACTGCATCTTGCCCATCGATAGATTCGATATCCAGAGGTAGATTGGGTCTCTGACTACCATCTTCACCCAACTAAAACGCCTGCCAACGTCCAGTTTAGAAACAGCAATAATGACCGGGAGTTTGTATTCGGGTGAAGGTGGTAATGTGGGTCCATTCCAGTGCCCAGGCTAGGCAAGGGGTTTCAAGCTAGTATAGGGCGGCAGAGGGCATGCGGATGCGTATCGATCGCGATTTCAGGAGAAGAAAAAGCTGGGCGTGAGACAGGCAGCAGAGGTTGTCCGAATGCCCGAGACAGTTGCATCGATTTGCTTCGTTCCTACATCCGGTGAGAAATGACTCCCGCTTTTTGAAGCCAGAATTATTTGCAACCTTTGGAGAATGCAATGCCGATCTAAATGTGAAAAAGCTTTGCATACACGTCTTGCATGCACGTCCACCTCGTTTAGATATAGGGAGTAAGTCCGAATAACCATCCACATCGGTCAGAGATGACAGGAGTTCGATGCTCTCCGAAGAATCCACATTATTCATTATAAAGCACCCAGATTTTCAGGCGAAAAATATGTTCAAAGTTCAAACTTCAAAGCGGCACACCGTACTTATGGCATGTGCACACAGTGCACATCAGCAGTGCACGCCTTAAATTGATTAGCTGTGGTACACGGTGTGCGCGCACACACCAAAAGATAGGTACGTGGGGAATAAAGTAGGAAGGGGGGAGGCCACAGGGTCGTGGGAGCCATATAAAAAACAAATTACTTGGATGGTGCCCGATCACAGCCTAGTCTTGATCTTGAATATCAGTACAACAATGCTGTTGTTCCCTGGCTACTGTGGTCCAAGTGCTTCCAGTGGATCCGCACTGACCTTGCTGTTGTCTCCTGGCCATCCCCAGTTTTACCATCTCCAGCTGTCCCTGACTCACGCTATCGGCACACGTCAGTTCCTCGGTGGGTTTTGACTGGCCCGTCCGTCCACCTCTGTTTAATCTTGATTCCCCACAAAACCTACAAAACCTCAACTCAAACCCACCCTCCTCTTATTCCACTGTTCTCACATGAGCTCGATTTTTGACAGCACACACACACACACACACACACACACACACACACCTGTCTCTTATACACATCTAGATGTGTATAAGAGACAGCCCTTGCAAAGGTATTCGCACTGACAGTGCGAAAAATCACAGAAGTTATGGTGCTTTTTCATTTGGCCCACACGTTGGAGTGGCAAAAAAAAAAAAGTGTCGAACGCACACAACAATCACAAAACAGTTAGCGCTCTAAACTGTAAAAACAAATTTAAAACATTTACAAACTGTAAAAACAAATTTAAAACATTTACAAAAAAGACCATGCTGGTTATTACCAAACCCATTTTGCAGTTGTCTTTCCTTCTGATTTAGTATATCGGCACGAATTGTACACAAGAGAGAACACAAAAACCTCTGTTCGGGGAATCTGCATGGAGCTAGTGGCCCAAATTTATATACAGGCACGGTCAGGAAGAGAAGAGAGAACCCGGGGTTTATATACAGGCACCGTCAGGAGGAATTACAGAGAAGAGAGAACCCCGGGGCAAGGGTCACACTTGCACGGATTAAGAGAGATGCTGGCCGTTGATCTTTGCAATCTACGATCAATATCGCTTAACTCGAGTAAGTGGGACCTAGCCCCCGGCTTGTACCCCTTTTTTTTATTTGAATTAATTGATCTCTACGGAGATCCCAGAATATATCGACTCTTTAGGGTCAGTATGTTTGGGATGGGAGTTTCTTCGTTTGGGGGATCTACATGGGAGCTACTGCCCAAAATTTATGTTCTCTCTTCACCCATTCTTCTGGCGATTGCCGATATAATAATAAACCAATGAAAAAAATATATATGAAATTTATGTTCTCGCTTCCAAGCAATCTAGACATTGCCGTGCTCATTATTTACTATTTATTATTTTTACTATTTACAATTTTTACTTTAATTTACTATTTTTACTATTTACTATTCAGTATTTAGTATTTTCTTCCACGCATTCTAGCGATCGCCAAACGTAAAATGTCTTTTTTTTTTTCTGTTCTGAACTCTTCTCTTTCCTTTTGACTCGTTTTGAGTTTTTGAAATAATAAACCAATGCAAAGAAAAACCTAAATTTATGTTCTCGCTTCCAAGCAATCTAGACATTGCCCTGCTCATTATTTACTACTTAGTATTTTCTTCCACGCATTCTGGCGATTGCCAAACGTAAAATGTTTTTTTTTTTTCTGTTTTCAACTCTTTTCTTTCCTTCAATTCGATTTTTTTTTCTACACCGGCACGAATTGAAGAGAAGATAGAACAGAAATTTTGGGCACTCGCTGATGCAGATAGCCAAACCTGAAAACTGCGATCTCCAAACGTATTGTGACCCTAAAGAGTGAATAAATTTTGGGATCTCCGTACAGATGAGGTAAAACTTAAATTCAAATTAAAAAAACACGTGCAAGCTAAGGTGCTGGGATGTGACGCTCCCCACAAATAGATCGTCGGAGCCTGTATTTGTAAAAAAAAAAAAAAAAAAAAAAACCGGTCGTGTGGATCGTTCTCAGGTTAAGTTAAGATCGCAAAATTAATCGGGGTAATCTCCATGCCGATCAATGATAAAAGGGACGCTGGGCCCACCATTTCCCATATCATGTCCTAAAAATCCCATATCTATTCCTGTCTGACGCCGACGGAAGCCAACCAACGAAAATAATTTTCGGGTCTGAGGGCATACTCAGACGGGGACCTATAATCCCAAAATCCCAAAAAAAAGGGTAAATGGCCGGTCACACGGATCTACCAAATTAGCAAGTGTACGATTCCAGTGACCATTTGTCAACAGCCTGGGAAGCCGCGGGGCAAAGGATTTTGCGGTCACCTCCTCTCCTCTGGAGGTGACCGCAAATGCCCTTTTCCATTTGTTGCATTTTTTTTTCGACAATCGGCAAAAATTCGTTCACAAAACTTCTTCCCCAATTACTGAATGACGCCGTGTGACCAGCCAAGAATCAAATCCCATTAAAAAAAAAAAAAAAAAAAAAGTACCAAATCCCCATTTCTCCAGATGGCCGCGCCCTTGTCCCATCTGAAAACTCTCAGCAGTGTGACGTCAACCATGCCCAAAACCTCAAATCGGCCTAAGGCTTCCCAAATCCGCATATTTTGCGGATTTGGGGAAATCGCCATGCGAGTATGCCCTGACGCCGACGGAAGCCAACCAACGAAAATGGTTTTCGACTCTGACGCCGACGGAGCGACATCGACGGCAGTGGGTGAGTGGATGGACAGAGTAGTCGAGGGAGAAGAAGGTCGTTCCACCTGAGGAAGACCGCGTGGCGGCGGTGGAAACCGGTCGGGGTGCCATAGCCGCCGGGGAGACAGTCAGTGCACTTTGGCTGTGCGCAGGATGACTTTACGTCGAATGCAATAGTGCATCGTGTATACTTGTATTTGCACGCTATTGCCATCTGTGTTTACTTGTGTTTGCATCGTGATTTACTTGTGTGTGCTTCGTGTATACCTGTGTTTGCACGCTATTGCCATCTACTTGTGTATGCTTCGTGCATACTTGTCTTTTGCATCCACTCAACTCCATCTACAACCACAACTACAACTACAACTGTAGACAAGAACTCAGAAGTTCGTCGGTCTTGACTGACTTTGCTATTTCTATCACTCACAAGTACAACTGTAGACAAGACCTCAGAAATTCAGAAAGAGATGCAACGAAAATTAAAAATGAATTCCTACGAGATCTGATCGTGGATTTGTTTATCGTTGCGTTTTCTTAATCTCTCGTCTTGTTATGCAGAGAGAGAGAGAGATCTGATCGTGGATGTGTTTGTCGTTGTGTTTTTCAACCTCTCGGCTAGTTTTGCAGGGGGTGAGAGAGAGAGAGAGAGAGATCTGATCGTGGATGTGTTTGTCGTTGTGTTTTTTAACCTCTCGGCTAGTTTTGCAGG